TCGCCCGATCTTTCCTCAGCCAGATGATCCCGGTAGTGCTTCTACCAGGGATGAACCGAGCAGTAGCTTGGACCGTCCTCGCCCTACCCTTCCTCGAGTGGTTGTCCCCATGTTCCCGGAGCGGAACCGTCCGCAGGGACAGCAGAAGCGTAACGCCGATGCTGACCCGCCATCCCCTCGCCATCGCATGACGAAACGCCAGCGCAAGGGAATCACCGCAAAGGAGAAGCTCCACTGGTTGAAGATGCAGGACTCGTAGCCCGACCTGTCGAATCGCGCCCTGGCGAAGCTCGCAAAGGTGCAACCATGCCAGATCCGTGATTGGAAAAAGATGAGGGAGCGGTTGGAGGTCTCTTCCAGCTGCCGTCGTCGCCTCATGGGAGCTGGCCGCAAGTCCAAGTTCCATTTCATGGAAAGGGCGGTCTACCGCCAGTTCCTCAAGCACAGAGGGAGGGGGCTCGCCGTTTCGGTCAGCATGCTCCAGAAGTGGAGCGCCAAGTACACGAAGCACCGGATGCCCGGGGTCAACTGGCGCGCATCGTTTCGCTGGGCGACTCGTTTCCGCGCGCGCTGGCATCTGGCGAGGCGGGTGAAGACGAAGATGGGACAAAAGTTGGCAGCGGGTAAGTGTTGCGCCGTCGTGCTCCTTGCATGCCATCTCAGTGCTGAGCTAATGTGTCTCGTGGCTTTGCTTGCAGATTCCAAGGCCAAGGTGGAGTCCTTTTGGGAGTTTGTGCGCCAGATGCGCTCTCTGCACGACTACCCGCTTGACCTCATCTTGAACGCGGACCAAACCCCGCTTTTCCTGGAGATGCCGGCGGAGCGCACGCTCGAAATGAAGGGAGCGCGGACGGTTCACGTACGGAGTGCGGGCTATGAGAAGGAGCGTGTTAGTGTCATGCTGGCAGTAACTGCGAGCGGGCTCAAGCTGCCGCCGTACGTGGTGTTCAAGCGCAAGTCCATACCGAAGGTGCCCATCCCTGCCGGTAAGCGTAGCATGTTTAGGATGATGTCACTACTGTAGCCTGTAAACATTCGCAACCGAATTTGACCCTAACGTACCGGTATTCTTTGGCAGGTGTGGTGGTCCGTGCACAAGACAAAGGGTGGATGGACAAATCACTTGTGCAGGACTGGATCACCCAGGTGATGGTGCCGTTTCTGAAGCCCTTGCGTGAATCAATTGGACGCCGCAGGGAGGCCTTGGTTGTTCTCGACTCCTACCGCGGCCACTTGACTGAGGCGATCGGGCAGACCATGAGGATGTTTCGGCTGTCACGGGCTGTCATCCCAGGGGGCTGCACTCCGCTAGTGCAGCCTCTGGATGTGTCAATCAACCGCGCGTTCAAGTGCGGTGTGCGTCATCGCTACAGTGGCTGGTTCAAAGAAGAGGGCATCAACACCACCACAAAGTCCGGTGAGTTGAACCATGACATCCGCATGTGTAACTTTGTATCAATGTCGGCTTACGCTCTGGAAATTCACATTTGTCCTTCTCTACCCTTCCCCGTCCCTCAGGCAATTTCAAGAAGCCGCCAGCGGAGTTGGTGCTCCGCTGGATCGATGAGTCCTGGGAAGGAATCCCACAAGAGCTCGTGAAGAAGGCGTTCGTCATGTGTGGGATCTCCACCCCCCATCGATGGCAGCGAGGACCACCTCATCCTTGCCCACATGCGGGACAAGGGTGAGGTGGAAGTCCTTGACGACGTCAACGACCTGGTTGACGACGAGCTCGTCGTCAACCCCTTCTACGTCGAAGTCCCCATGCCGGTCGAGGAGCTGCAGGCGGCGGCAGAGGAGGCTGACGCCGCTGAGGAGGATGCGGAAGCGGCGGCGGCAGAGGAGGAGGGGGGCGTGCTTGAGGAAGGCGGGGAGGCAGAAGAGCCCAGCGATGACGAATGGTGGCGCCCTGGCCGCTTTGACGGGGAAGACTGTGAAGAATGGCATGCAGGAGACGATTCTGAGTCGAAGGCACTTTGTATAGAGTTTTTTTAGGTGAAATTGTGGATGTGAGGTGCTCTTGTGGTGATGTTTCTGCAGTCTAGGTGACATTGTCGATGACTATGTGCTGGCACATTACTTCTGTAGTACCTGTAAAGTACCCTGTGTGCAATGTAAGCAAATTCGGTATGTTTGCCGCCCATAACAACCCCCCGGGTCTTATAAAGAATTAGGCAAAAAGGGGGGTATAGTAGAAACGAGGCTCCCCATAACACCCACCCCGCACAAGCTACCCGGGGGTGTACAATTATGGGGGGGTGTTTTGTCCGGGAGTATACGGTACCTCAAAACGAATCTAGGGGCCTGCTAATATCTTTGGTTTGGTCGATTCAATCTCACTTTCTAGCTAGATGTAGATTATTCTCCTACATAGCTTTGGTTTGGTCGGGCTTTTCAGAGAGCAGAGTTAACCATAATAACCCTGGCATCAAGAAGCATCGTCAAGCGTCTCACGAGGATTTGGTCGCTGTGACCGGCAAGGCCCAAAATTAGTTTTGGCCCACCTTGAATAATCAGGGTTTCGGTTCAGGCCAGCTCTACCCTGACTCATAGCGTAGAATTTTGCATACCGGTACCCTGGCCAAAATAGCCTAAAATAACTTGTAAACGGACTATGATAAACGTAAAAATATTTATTTAGCTTCTGAAGTGCATGGTCGCCTCTGCTGTTAGTTTCCACTTGAAACCGTTCTCTTTTGCTTCTCAAACTCATATTGAATCATTCGCTTCTCATTCGTAGCTAGTTAATCATAACAATGAACATATTGTACATGGATAAACTCCATAAATGAAGAATGGTTAGATGTTTGGCTAGGTATAGTATGATCGCAAGTTCAAATGTTAGCGACGGTCGCATTGTTTTGCAGCTTCGCAATAAAAATCATCGAAACACAGGATCCAATATCAATGTAATGTACAGCGCACCTTGATACCGGCACGGTAACCAAAATCGTTATCGATGTATATCAAAACTTAGCCCATTTTCTTAATTAGTGAAAGAATTTTGATACGGTACCCTTTTTTGCAAGGGTAACTGGGAAAAAGCGGCCACCCATCAGGGCCAATAGGGTATTCTACCCTGATATTTCGAGCCCTAGACCTTCTTTTTGTTGGAAACAATCGATCTTAAGCGCCTCTGTTGTGTCGAAACACTAAGGCACAAACAAAGCCAAGCATATCGAAGCACCGGCGAGTCAACCCTCGGAGGTTGAAAGTAACTATTGGAAGTTACGCAAAAGTCAAAGGTCAGCGACCTTTGATGTGACAAAGTACAGCGCGACAGCAAGAACACACAAGTGACTGACTCGCTACACAGCAATTGCCCGGGTCGTCACTGTATCGAACCGCAACAGCAACAGTTATAACTGTACCCGTTCATATTCCTTGTACTCTTATATAATCTTCTATCTCTTTATTTTAATCAACTTACTTTGCCCTCACATACTAGCGCAAGATGGTTCACAACTCTTCATTAAACGTTTCCGCTATTACATCAGTCCTACCCAGAGTTCACCCCTGCAAAGATCCTAAGGGCTTTTCTCAGCCCAACATGTTATGAGAGCAGTCAGGGAGAATTCAACTCCTATTAAGATACCGACAACATCAACAGGCATGGCTACACAAAAAGAAAGGAGCTCCTCCAACAGCTCCCAGGGCACTACTCCTACTCCACCTCCTGCCTCTGGCCTACAGACAGAGGAGGGTACGGCAACAAGACCCAGGGCAACATCCACCGAGACTCCTGCGAATCAACCTGCAGACTTCGACCAGAGCATGATGGAGAAATTCTTCTCTTTCATGTCTTTCTACGAGCAACACCAGCAATCGGCACCTGCGCAATCACACCATAGCAACAACAACGGAGCAACTCCCATGAGTCTCGACAGCTCATCATACGCACGAGGAAATCAACAGCAGCAGCCTACCTTTATTCCGTACGAGCGCGGGTCCATCAGCTTTATGCCACACCTGCAGCCTTCATCTGGACAAGAAAAGTCACTGGACGCATTACAAGTTCAGTCGCAGTTCGCGCACGTTTTGAAGATGCAGACGTCAAGACCTTTCGATGGAAAGGATTTCTTCACCTGGTCGTTTGAATTCGAGTTAATGATGCAAGGCGCGCAGATACTTGGCTTCTTCGACGGGTCCCTGCCATACCCAATGAACGGCATACAGTATGAAAAGCAACAGTACACCTATCAGTCGATGATGGCGTACACGATTCTACTGAGGAACATCACCCCAACTCAACAGCAGAATATACGGTCTTACCGGGGTTACGGCAACTCCGCGGAGCTCGCATACAACCACTTGAAGAGCTTGTATCAAGCAACAGACAGCGTAAATTAAAGTCGGTTAATGGCGCAACTAACAACGGTCTAAATGAAACCAGGCGAAAAAGGAATGGCGTATATCAGCCGATGTCGCGAGTTGCGCAACAAGCCTCTTCGATGCGGAGGGTCGATTTCTGAAGACGCCTTCGTGACAGTTATCATTGGCGGCCTCGGTCCTCAATGGCGCGCCACAAAGACCATTCTTCGAGCCCACGGAAGAATCTCCGAAGCAGCACTCTGCGCCGAAATCCATGCCGAGCAACAAGACATGGACCTGCAAGAAGAACGACACAAGAAGACATCTGCACCGGAATTTGCATTCCACACTCAGTAACGCTACAACAACAAACAACAACCGAAGCCCGTACCTCTGTTATGCCACATCTGCAAAACGTCAGGGCACCCGCGCACGCACTGCCCGAATCGACAACAGTCAACGCCTTCACAGCGGTAGCTTTGACCTTCAAGCAATAAAATCACCTCAACATAAGCATATCCAACTCAGGATGGGATGGAAAACTCCCCACCTGTTCTTCACCACAACCCAAGCGCACCAGCTTACGCGCCACTCGAGAAGGTATACAACGACATCTTGTACAACCGCGAGCCTGGACAAAACGCGTACAACTACACCATCATGGCCCGGAGAATGTCGTTGCGCTGTGCATGGACGGTGGCAGCAACTACGCGTCGGCATGCAAGTTGCAGCAGGCGCAGTGGCCGCACATCGAGCATGTGCCATGCGCCACCCACGTGCTCGACTTGCTGATGGAGGACATCGGCAAGATGGAGTGGGCGCGAGACGTCGTCGGCCGAGCGGGCGACATGATCACGTTTCTGCGCATCCACCTGTGGACGCGCGCTTTTCTGCGGAGTACGGAACTGCACGGCGGGAAGGCGCTGCAGCCGCTGCGACTGGCAGGCACGCGTTTTGGGACACTGTATATTGCCGTGTCTCGTCTTTGCCAGCTTCGCTCACAGCTGCTGCAGATGGTGATGCATGACGGCTGGAAGAAGATGAAGGGGAAGAAGGGGACAAAGGAGAAGAAGACGACGGCGTGTGACTTCGAGGCGTGGGTGATGGATGTGGATTGGTGGGAGAAAGCAGGGTTTTTTGTGCAGTTGATGGAGGTGCCATTCATGGTGATGAGGAGGACGGACTCGCATGCGAAGGGGATGATGGGTGCTATCTATGACATCATGCTGCAGCTGACGGAGGACATGGCGAACCTGCTGGATGGTGATATGTGTAAGCTAAAGGAGGAGGAGAATGAGGAGGTGCAGGAGCACTTGAGGCGCCGCTGGGACGAGAGTTTGGCGTGCCCCCTTCACGTGGTTGGCCGGATCCTTAATCCGGCCAACCAGCTGGAGGAGATTTTCCTGCGTAACGTCGATTGCACCAAGGTGATGAGGGAGTGGCTCGCCCGCTCTAAGGTCTTAGTCGACAAGTTCTAGAAGGGGAAGAAGGGGCCGCACAAGAGTTTGCAGGAGGGGATGTTGGCGTACATCAACGCCACTGGGAGCTTCGGATCGGAGGAGGCGAGATTGGGGCGTGAGGAGCTGCAGGATGGGAAGTGGGACGTGCTGGCGTGGTGGCAGTATCACGGCTGGGAGTATGCAGACCTGGCTGGACTTGCGCGCCGTGCACTGTCCCAGCCAGTTTCCGCCGCCCCGTGCGAGCGGAACTGGTCTGTTTGGGACGGCGTGCACACGGCGCGCAGGAACAGGCTCGGGTTGGAGAAGGTCCGCGACCTTGTGTACGTTGCGCACAACTAGACAGTTGTGCACAACCATCACAAGGGAGCGGCTGTTGCAGGGCTTAGTGGGGTGGGAAGGAAAGGGGGGATCGTGGAGGGGAACATTCCCACCCCCCCCCTCCCCGAGGGCTACAAGCTGGAGGAGGATGGGGAGGTGGAGGAGGATGAGGACGCGATCTGTGTGGATGAGCATGCGCACCAGGAGGATGGCGAGGAGGAGGAGGGCGAGGAGGAGGAGGGCAGGGAGGACGAAGATTAGAGGAGATGGCGTGGACCGTGGTAGCTTGCTCTAGTTTGCTTATTGCTAGACTAGAGTGACTAACTAATCGTGACTATGGGAACCTAATGTTGGGGGGGGAAATTTTTTGTGTCGGAAAAAATCTCCTCAAATCTATGCTATGTGCTTCTTCCCCCCCTTCCCTTGCACCTTGAGAGGTTTTTTTGCCTGCCCGTACCATTTTTTACCCTGCCCGGGCTTGCGCTTTTTTTGCGTTTTTTTTAATCCTAGAAATGCGTTCTGCGTTTAAAACGCTGCGTTTGAACGTAAGCGTTTAAAACGTCGAACGCGTTTTTCTCCACCAATGACTCCACATGCAACATGTGGTACCCCATACCTCTCATGCCATTTAGGTAAGGGGGTTGCTGGGGTTTGTGCATGCTGTGGTACAGGGAGGAAGGCAAGATGGGTGATGTGAAATGCAGGCTCCACATGCAACATGCGGTACCCCATACCTCTCATGCCATTTAGGTAAGAGGTTTGCTGGGGTTTGTGCATGCTGTGGTACGGGGAGGAAGGCAAGATGGGTGATGTGAAACGCAGGCTCCACATGCAACATGCGGTACCCCATACTTCTCATGCCATTTAGGTAAGGGGGTTTCTGGGGTTTGTGATGCTGTGGTACGGGGAGGAAGGCAAGATGGGTGATGTGAAACGCAGGCTCCACATGCAACATGCGGTACCCCATACCTCTCATGCCATTTAGGTAAGGGGGTTGCTGGGGTTTATGCATGCTGTGGTACGGGGAGGAAGGCAAGATGGGTGATGTGAAACGCAGGCTCCACATGCAACATGCGGTACCCCATACCTCTCATGCCATTTAGGTAAGGGGGTTGCTGGGGTTTGTGCATGCTGTGGTGGTGAGAAAAAGGGGAGGTGGGGGATGGAGGGGAGGGAGAGAAGCGGAGGTGGGATTGTGTGGAACTTCACGACCAGTTGCCCAAACGGCAGGCAGACTCCCCCATCCACCACCAGCCTGGCATCCCTTGTAAGTGTGTGTGAACACAAGAGGGGTTGCAGAAGAGAGACCCACGCAGCACCAGCTTCGCACCACTAATAGTGTGTGTAACAGATCCCATAAGAAAATATGAGGACTCACTAGTGGAACTCCACCAGCAGTTGTCCGAATGGCAAGTTCCCCCCATTCACCACCAGCTTTGCATTGCCCCGCCCCCGCCGCTTCCCCGCCTTCTCCTCCTTGGTCAAAGCCCCTCCCTCAGCCCTCCTCTTCTCCAGAAACTCATCAGTCTCCCTCTTCAGACCCATGATAAACTCCTCCTCACACCCCTCGCAGTCCATTTTCAGCACATCCACATACGAGTGCTCTAGCCTCTCCATCGCCCCCTGCAGCGTCATGAAGGTGATGCCGGGGTTTTTCGCCCGGAAAGCCTCCAAGCTTGCCGCGCCCGCGATCGCGATTTGGTGGAAGTGGAGGAAGGGGAGGGCGAGCATGTGAGCAGTGGCGTTGGCGGAGAGGAATGGGTCGAAGGTGAATGGCTTGGTGTGCAGCGCCGCGCCCATGGCCTGCTCAAAGTCATACTGCTCGTTGCTGCCCACACTGGCATGGACAAGGGAGGAGGTTGGGGGGGGGGGGTGAAGGGGGGGGGAGGGAGGGGGCAGGGGGGGACTGAGGGAGTGGTGGGAAGAGGGGGGAAGAGGGGGGAAGAGGGGAGAAGAGGGGTGAAGAGTGGGGAAGCGGATAGGAAGGGAAGGCATGGCGTGCTTTCTGGGCACCTCAAAAACAAACTCCCGGGCGGGGGAGGTATAACGAGCATGGGAGGTAACAAGCGTGGGAGGTGGCTTGAGGTGATTTTTTAGTTGGAAGAGGGTTTTGAAATTCTTACCTGTACACTATAGGGTTTTCTTGGATGGCAGTTGGCAGCATGCACACCCACTACAGTGGAGGGCAAGGTGGGATGGATGCAAGGGAGGGGATGAGGGGTGAGGGGAGGGGAAAGGGAGGGCAGGGGAGGGGAGGAGGGGTGAGGGGAGGGGGAAGGTAAGGCAGGGGAGCGGAGGAGGGGTGAGGGGAGGGGGAAGGGAGGGCAGGGGAGGGGAGAGGAGGAAGAGAGGGGGAGGGTTGAATGGCAGCATGCATACCCACTGCAGTGCAGTGGAGAGCACGAATGGGAGCTAGAGGGGGAGGACTGGGGGGAGGTGGGGGGAGAGGCAGGGGAGGGGGAGGAGGAAGAGAGGAGAATGGTTAGAGGTAGCACACACATCCATTGCAGTGAAGAGAGAGAGTTGGAACGAGAGGAGGAGGGAAGGAGAGGTGGAATGGAAAGAGGCAGGGGAAGAGGCATGGGAGCGAAAGGAAGCGGGAGAGAGTTAAATGGCAGGAGGCACAACTATTGCAATGGAGAGCAAGGTGGGGTGCAACAAATAGGGGAAATAAGAGGGGAGAGAGGGGTGCAATGTGGTGGGGACAAGGGACAACACAATCACCCCTGTAAGTAATTCGCTTCCCCAAAAATCATCAATAACTAAATTAAAAACAATCCCTCCTCATTACCGCTTCCACTAGCAGCTTTTGCCACCTTCCCTCGCTTACACCCATCCCGCTTTCCCTCGTAATCCTATCCCCCAAACCCCCATATTCCCATCCCTCCATCTACCCATATTCACATCCCCCCATATTCCCATCCCCCCATCCCCCCATATTCCCAACCCCCCATACCTCCACCCCCATACCTCCGTACCATCATGTCCCCATCCCCCAACCCCATCCCCATCCCCCAACCCCATCCCCATCCCCCAATCCCATCCCCACCCCCCAACCCCATCCCCATCCCCCAACCAATCCCATCCCCATCCCCCAATCCCATCTTCATTCCCCTTCCACTGCCCCAATTTCCTACCTTTTCGCCATCCCCCCATGCACCCACTCTCTCCTCTGCCAGGCATGGGTAAGTGGGCATGAGCACAGACAGTAGTAGCGATGGCAGAGCGGGGCAGGGAGTAACCAACGGACCCAACTCAACCGTTCACTCACCTTTCCGCCATCTCCCCATGCACCCACTCTCTCCTCTGCGGGGCATGGGTAAGGGGGCATGAGCACGGAGAGCAGCAGCGACTGCAGGTCATGTGCGTCCACGGGCCACTGCTCCCCGTTATGAGCCACTTTCCTTCTCTCTGTGTTGGCCTGGGGGACAGGAAGGCGGGGTGGGCCGGAAATGCGGAGCAGCGAAGCATACATGGCAGGTCATGTGCGTCCATGGGCCACTGATTCCCGTCATGAGCCGCCTTCCTACAGTCTATATCAGCCTGAGGGGACGCGAGGGGACGGGAGGGGATGGGAGGGGACGGGAGGGGACGGGAGGGGAGGGGAGGGGAGGGGACGGGAGGGGAGGGGAAGGGGGGGGCAGGGGAGGAGAGTGGGAAAATGGGTAGCAGCAAAGCCTAGATGGCAGGTCGTGTGCATCCATGGGCCACTGATCCCCGTTACGAGCTGCTTTCCTTTCGTTTCATATCCGCCTGGCGAACGGAAGGGGAAGGGAAGGGGGTCGGGGGGGTGGGGATTGGGGAGCAGTAATCGTGGGAATTGGGTCGGGGGGGTGGGAATTGGGGAGCAGAGTAATCGTGTTTATCTATGGGAAGCAGAGTAATCGATTGGTTGGGAAGCCACAAACTTGGTTGGCGGTATTCGGAGGAACGTGCCAAACCAAGCATGCGATCGTACACCCAGGTAAGTTTTGGAAAACACACCTGCGCGGCTTTATGATGAGTTTTTGTTTACCTCTGTGATTGGCAGCATTGCGTCTGTTATTGATCAACGTTCTTCTGATGCATCATTCTATATCGAGTGTAACTACGTTGCAACTGATCCTTACCCAATAAGCAGCCTCGGCTCGGCATAACGACCATGCAATGTTAACGCCTTTAATGACGCCAGCTTCTAACGAGGATGCAGCGGCGTAGGATGCGGAGGCAGCAGGGTCGGAAGAGGAGGCGCCAGACGCGGCAGCGGGGTCAGCGTTCGTCAAAAGCGATTCACTCGGCTGGAAAATGAGGAGCAGCGGTACGCCAAGAGCGAGAATAGCGGACGCGACGACTAAGTATGGCTTTTATTTCCCAAAAACCTTGTCGTTGCGCTGCCAGAAATCGGAGAATGTGCCGTGGACTACAGCGTACGACATGACGACGTCACTGCCTGGAAAGTACGTAATCGGTGAACGGACGGCCAGCAATGCGCGGATTTGAGACGAACCGCCCCCTGGGAATAAGCTGCCAGTGAGAAATAAAGTTCTACATTTCCACACGGAGATGACGCGATGGCGAGTAGGCACGAAATGCGAGGCGCATGGCGAGCGCCTGGCGGTGGCGGAACAATGGTGGAGAGAAAAAAAGGGCCGCTGGCCCACTCGCACTACTACCTTGGTGGACCAGACGGTTTCTAGAATCTAGATTCTAGAGTGCATACTCGAGTGCCGACATTGCAAGCTGACAGCCGTAAAAAAAAAAAACAAATATTTGTCTTTGAGAACCTCGTTAGAAACAAAGCTATTGAAGTCGGAATTGGTATCATTATGCTAAGTAAGACATTCTTGAGCAAATCCATGTAGAAAATGAAAATACCATATCCATTGAAATTTCGTGTCCTCGACACAATACTGTTGGTGTTGTGATGGCAATCGGCCAAAGGCTTTTGTTGCGATGACCAATTGCCCGCACGCATGTGCATACATACCGCAATTACTCAAATAATAGCCTCTGAAAGTGGACTAGGCATAATGGGATACAAATATGCAACCCTAAAAATGTGTACTCCCCAAAAAGCACCTCAGTATACCCAAGCACTAACAGACACACATGATTATAATTTGGCATACCCCCATAGGCTAGGTGAAGGGCATCACACAAGCATAATAAATAACAACCCAAGGCGGATCAACTAGTCCAAACACTGAGACAGGTGGTAACAAGACCATTCAACGATTAGCAGCAAACCAAGAGGTGCAACTCATGATGGCACGATTAGCCAACCTTTGAGACAAACGGTTACAAGGCCAATTCAAGAGCATATAAATATATACAAAGAACAACACGAGCAACGCAAGAAACAAGAAGCAGGTATATAACAGACGAGGACCTGTGTGAAGAAGCCCAAGCGTTTTGCAGAATATGTGGTGGTCAAAGAGCAGAGGGCTTTGGTGAAGAAGTATGTAGTGTTGGGCGCTAAGGCTACAAAGACCAAGCGTGCATGGCCGCGTCGCTACAGCTCTCGCAACAGGAAGTTACCGCAACTTGATGTTCTTCAATCTGCTCTCCAGTCGAGGCTCTCGACTAAGGAGGATCATAGCCTTGTTATGAGTGCACAAGGTCAGTGCAGAGCTAGGCAGCTCACCTAGGTAAGTGAGTAAGTCAGCAAGCGGAGCTAAGCGGCCATGGCACAGGCGTAGATATCGGCCTCAGCAATAGACAAAGCCACAGACAATACTCGTGTTGACCTCCACGACACAACTTCAGAGCCCAACTTGAAACAGCCCTGTGTAGACTTGCGGGTCTCCTCGTCGTTCATTCAGGGCGAGTCGCTATGCCTAATAAGTCCCACTGATTGGCTCACTCCAAGCACAAGCCCCATGCCTGATGTGGTCGCCGTGTATTTCAATACCCTTATAGCAGGCATCTAGTGAATGTAACGGTGTCTCCTGGTTGCAACAAAGCGAGAAAGGATGCTAAAAGGATAGGCGAGGTCAAATCGAGTGCACGTCATCAGGTACATGCGGCAACCTACAAGGTCTGCATATGGACCACTAGACTCAACCGGATTGTCGAAGAGCACTGAGTCTGAAGCCCCAGCAAGAGGAGCGGTTGTGTGGAGGAGAACTGGAAGCTAGACTGTTGAAGGATCTGTTGCACCACGTCTGACTAAGTCAGAATGGTGCCGCTCTATCCGTGGTGATCTCCAAGCCAAGATAGCTGTGCTGCTCACCAAGGTTAGTGCATGTGTATCTTTTTTGCAATCAAGGCTTCCACTAAAGCTAGAGCGACCACTTCTGCAGTAGCAAAGAGCAAGTCGTAGACGTACACGAAGATGAGAAATGTGTGGACCCATAACTAACAAACGAACAGTGTCAAGTCAGCGGAAGAATGGCGGAACCCAAATGAAGCAAGAGTAGTATGCATGGTGTCGCACCAGTCGTGAGGTGCCTGGCGCAATCCTTAGACTGGTCATCTTAGGCTCCACTAGGTCCTAGGCGGGAAAGTGCTAGTAAGCGAGGAGGACGGCAAAGTCTGTCAAACATTGTATGTTGTGGTTGTTTAGGCTACAGTGGGTTAGCCTATAGTGGGTACACATTTCTAGGGTTAGGTTTGACCTATTTGTACCCAACCCTCATTCTAGTGATTCATTCTCATTCTGACATGGTATTACGAGCCTAGGTTTCACCTAGGACCGAAACGATAGGGCCCACCGTTTCCGCTAGCCGCGCCCTCGTGCGCCGCCTTTTCCTGCGCCTCACGCGCCTTGTTCTTAAGGCCCCCTAAGGCCCTCTCGCGTCGCCCCTTAAGGCCCCTCACGGCCCCTCGCGTCGCCCCCCTTAAGGCCCCTTACGGCCCCGCGCTAGCCTCTCAAGGCCCCGTGCGGCCCCGCTCTAGCCTCTCAAGGCCCCCGAACGGCCCCGCGCTAGCCCCGAATGGCCCCGTACGGCCCCCCGCGCTAGCCTCTCACGGCCCCCTCAGCCCCGCGCTAGCCCTCTCAGGCCACCGTCGGCCCCGCGCTAGCCTGTCACGGCCCCCCCCCCTCGGCCCCGCGCTAGCCCTCTAAGGTTCCCGTCGGCCCCGCGCTAGCCTCTCACGGCCCCCGAACGGCCCCGCGCTAGCCCCGAACGGCCCCCAACCGGCCTCGCCCTCGCCCTGGACGGCCCCGCGCTCTCCCTTAACAGCCCCACCCGGCCCCGCGCTCGCCTCTCTAGGACCGAGCCGAACCGCGCGACCCTACCGAGCCGCGCGACCCGACCGAGCCGCGCCGCCCTAGCCGAGCCGCGCCGCCCTAGCCGAGCCGCGCCGTCCTAGCCGAGCCGCGCCGCCCTACTGCTACTACCACTGCTGCTACTGCTACTCCTGCTACCACTACTACTGCCACTGCTACTGCTTCAACTATGGCTAGCCCTACAGTTCTCTCGTTCGATACTAAGGGCCGCCCGATTAAGTTTGAGACCTGGCTCGATGATCTGCACCTGTTCCTCCAGCTCACTGCCCGAGAGGATATCTCGCTGTACGATCACGCACTAGGCACAGTCCCTGCTCCTGCTACTACTGCTACCGCTACTGCTCGCTCGCAGTGGCAGACTCGCGATGCCCACGCCCGCTTTGCCATTCGCAACTCCCTGCCAGTCGATGAGCGCGAGCACTTTGGCCAGCATCAGACTGCGCAGGCCCTCTACACTGCTGTAGTTGCGCGCTACTCCTCCCCGGCCTCAGCTGCACTAGGCCACCTCTCGCTTCCCTACCTGTTCCCTGACCTGTCCGCCTTCCAGACAGTCGCTGACCTCATCACTCACCTCCGCACTAGTGATGCCCGCTTCCGTGCAGCCATGCCCGCTGAGTTTCTTGCCTCCAACCCTCCCCCGCTCTGGCTCACTCTCTACCACCTAGTCACCCGCCTCCCTGACACTCTGCGTACAGTCAGGGACCACTTCCTAGCTCGCTGCCCCACTGAGCTCACCATTGCCGCCCTAGAGAAGGAACTACTTGCAGCTGAGAAGAGTATTGTAGCTGTAGGTGCCTCTCGTGGCGACCCCCGCACCCCTTTCTTCGAGGGGTGTTCCCCCTCCCCCCTGCTCCCCTCTGTCGCCTCTGCTGCTGCTGTCGACCTCCTTGGTGCTGAGCAGGTCGGCTCTGCGTCCGCTCCCAGCGGGCGCCGCAGCGGCAAGGGCAGGGGAGGCAAGGGCGGTGGGGGTGACGGCGGGGGAGGCGGTGGTGGGGGTGGTGGCGGCGGTGGGGGCGGTGGCGGGACTGGAGGGGCTAGTGGCAGCGGTGGGGGTGGTGGAGGCAGCGGCAGCGGCGGTGGTCGGGGTGGAGGCGTTGGTGGTGGCGGCAGTGGACGTGGCGGCGGCAGGGGCGGTGGTGGTCGTGGTGGAGGCGGTGGTGGTGGTCGTGGAGGCTCTGGCCCTGGCCAGAGCGCGCAGCACCCTCAGTCCTCCCAGGAGCTTCGTGAGTGGTACTTACAGCACGGGGGTGGGGGGGGTAGCCTTA